GAAATACTAAGTGCTAACCTCTCAGACAGAAAAAATGACTCAACAATCCTGAGAGTCCATTATTTTAACCCTTTACCTACCTTTAGAGCACGCATATTCCTGAGCATGACATCTCCTATGCGTTGATAATCCCCTTTCACATGAGCATTGGTTTTTCCTTCCCTGAAACACACATAAGGATATGAAATAAGAAAGCACAGCACATGTGAGATCAAGAACTGTCCACTTCCTCCCTCCACCTTCATCTGTACTTCCAAGACAATCTTCAAGAAATGCTCCCCAGGTGCATTTTAAGGACTGCTTCAGAAAATTAAGGGAAGCAGTATTAACATTAATGTTGCCTCTAGGCATTTTTAGCCCTTTTTCATTCCCATTCACTGTTCAGGGTGAAAACTTGGTACAGTAAAGATGGAAGTGTGTAAAATAAACAGAAAGCCATGCTTAGAAAAACTGAGAAAGGAACAGAAATAAATTTGTGTGAAAGTCTTTTTCAGAGTTTAACCTCTCAGACTTTTGAATAAATGTCATAACATGCTCCCACCTGAATTTATGGATTTATTTTTGTTTATACTTTGTTTATGTAAATCACCTCCTTTTGAATGGTAATTATATTCTAATATATTACATCTCAGGTCAGGAGAAACTAATAAAAAGGATAAAAGACTTAAAACCATGCTCTTTGAAAGAAATGGTGCTGCCAGAACTGAACTCTAACCTTAATTACAAAAAAAGTGTTGCCTAGATTTTCACCTGAAGATTCATTAACTGCAAGGTGTTGAGAAACACATTATCTTTTTGATCTTGTGTTCCTTCTCTTTTCTAAGGCTCAAGAGACAAGATCAGCTGATTAACAGTCAGACTCGATGATCTTAAGGACAAGATCAGCTGATTAACAGTCAGACTTGATCTTAAGAGTCTTTTCCCACCCTAAATGATTCTGTGATTACAAAAATCTTGATCTGGTGTACAATTCACACAGCTACAGGATATTAAGTGCAAGGCAGTGCTTGAAAAAATGGGCTTTGCAAAATGTAGTTAGCCCTTTTTTTTAAAACTGTAATTTATTCAAAGATTTTTTTCCTTGGTTTTAATTATGCAGAAACACCAGTTCAACTCTAGACCAAGTATGGTTTTGATGTGAGGATGAAGGAAGAGGTGATCCCACTGGTTGCCACTGTTAATGCTTACCAGAGCAATAGTCTCTGCTCAATCTCTTTCAGAAAACCTCGATGAAACTCATAAATTGGGTCTATGTTAGAGAAGAGTAATGTCATCAGCCCCTCTGGCATGGCATTCTCCTTGATGACTGCACTGCGAAACCACTGCCAGAAAAAAATCATAAATGATGAGAAATTTCACTAGGTAAGAAATTAATCACTAGTTCTCCTGCAGAGATGGAGAAGGAGAAAGCAGGGAAAGAGGAGAAAGGAAGGGGAAATAGTCAGGGAAGACAATCTGGGAATGATGAAGAGATGGAATTTTTTTCCTTGCCAAATATTACAAAGATGAGGATTATTATTGGTTCTGGGCACAAGGATGTTTCTTAATGCAATGATGAGATGGTAATGGCTCTGAATTACAGTCAATTACCAAGTGGCTGCCACAGCTGATGTTACACCACTGCTTTCACTTCAACGCAGGTAAAATTGTTCTTTCATAGAACTTGGAGCCCTGTGCAAGTTATTCAGTAGGTGGAGACATCTTGTCACATCACATACTGCACTTTATCACTTTCAGTTCCCCACTTTTGGCAGGGACATGAATATTTCAAAAATCCTCCGAGGTGCCAGATATTCCCCCATCTTTTTAGGAGAAGTGCTGGGAAGCCTGTAGGAGGAATTGGAGTGAGATGGTGCTCACTGAGAGAATACCTTAAATGAAGAAGTACAACATTAAGGGAATCAAACTTCTCTTTGATGAAATTAAAACAATAGTTTATAAGGAATGCAACAGTCACAGTGTTCAATCCTGGAGCAAATGAACATAAAGCTCTTAAGAAAAAGAGTTGGAAACTCAAGCTGTCCTCCAAGCAAGCACTTGCTTGTCTACTCTGGTTGAAAGGAGGGGAAAAGGAAGGGAAAGCAAAAGCAGCAACAAAAAGAAACAACTAAACTGCTCAGACCCTTACAGATCCTTAATACCCTTTGCAATTGTCATCTTCTCTCATGATGTGAAGGCACAAAGACAAAAGCCTCCCAAGGGATACTATAGAGATGATGGCTAGATGATAAGCAGAGCTGATAGCAAGGACTATCATTGAAGCTGAATGTAAAATATTTTTAGGCTGTCCCTGTTCACAACTTTCAGAGGGAAAGTCTGCCTAATATATCAAAATGACATGTGGTGTAGCTGTTGGAGCTAACAACAGAAGTCCAGAGAAAGTAGCTGCTCTCCCACAAGAGGACCTATGTAACAAGGGAGGTAACAGATACATGGTTTATGGATTATGCTTTATCATAGGCCTTCCTTCTTCTGTTACCTGGAAGAAATGCCAAGTTATTGCAAATTAACAATTACAAATCTCTTCAGAAAAGGGAAAGCACTTAAAGTTAAAACCCCTTACCACTGTAATAACTTCCAGGTCCTTTAAATACGTCCGTTCTGTAGCAAGAATCTCCTTTGCCATGAAAAAGGCCTTGTCAGCTGGACAGCGCTGAAATAACAGAGTCAGCAACAAATATTCAAATATCAGTGTTCTATTTATCACTAATCACAAGCTCAAATCTTTATGTACATTCACCCTTGCTGTGGGCAAATGGAGCAGCTGATTACTAATAGAGCATCTTTGTATTCAATGCTATATTCTCCAATACTGCCTTTACTATAGAATACTATTTATATTTCAAGATCATTAAAAAATTATGCCAATTATAGGTCAGTGACATGAGTTTCCACTTCAAAGTCAAGGAAGCACTTCACAAAAACACAGAAAGAGTTGTTCCAAGTTTCCTACATTTTATACACTTCTCTAATGAAATGAAGTACAGCAGATTTGTAATACAGTCCTCTTTCATAAGTATTCTATTTTGACTCACAGCTTTTACTCAAATCCTTTGAAGATTGTATTAATTAGTTAAGAAAGCACAAAAATCAAACTACATCAGTTCTTGGCTGCATGGTTGCTCCAAGGCTGCTATTTAAATTAAAAACAGAATGGATGTAGAAGGGACATTTAAACAGTTGCTTAAAGAGTAACCCTCAAACACATCACCTAGTTTATATCAAGTATATCATCTAATATGTTCTTCAGAACTCTGGAAAGGACTTTGCCTGCTTCCAGTGCACACCTCGTGCTTTGATCCTCACTTGAGTGTCTTTTCCCCCCTCTCAGAAATATCTTTACAGCATTGCATTGTGCAAGAGGGTATGGATATAGATGATGCACTGGGGCAGAGAGGGGATGTGTGGTGGTGCTGAAACACAAAGTGAGGAGCAGAAGCTCATGACCCAAGGACCGAAGATGAAGTGGCCTCCAGAACAAGAACATTTTCTAGTTAGGATTACCCGAGAAAGCAAAGGTGAATCCTGAGCTCTACATAAGGGTGATGAAAATGCCATATCACATTGGAGAGTTCCCAGTTAAAGCAATTGTGCTTACTGCTGGACAGAAAGAAAAGCAGCCTAGCTAAGGATGAGTACCTAGGCATAAGCATACCTTGAAGACCTAAAGCTGTTCCTGCTTTGAAACTTCTTGCACCCACAAAAGTCAGGGGCTTTTTTGGCCCTCTTTTTTCAGAAAGCAAGCCTCAAGCTTTTGCAAAGCCAGAGTATTGTCCACCTCTCACCAGACAGAAGACTCAGACATGAAGAGGGCAGCTCCAATGATACAGCCATCTCTGTTGAGCAAGCCTGTGACTGACTGGGTGTAAGAGGATTCACCATAATGCCTGCTCTGAGAAAGATGAAGTTGAGCTCAGGTCCTCTACTGCCTGACAGGAACATCTCAGGAGCACTCTAAAGGCCCTGATATGGTTAGAAAGAACAGGTTGGAGGAACAGGGTATGGTGCAATGGAGCAATGTGACCATCATGAGAGTGTTGGAAGTACGGAACCTAGGAAGGACACGCTTTATATTCAACAAATGTTAGCTCTGGGCTATTCTCTATGCTGGTCAATTAAGTTATTTCAGAATGCATTTTTATTAATGACCCATGGCATTTTGCACAGACAGCACAGTGCAGTGAGCTGACACAGGTTAAATGTGACAGCACTCAACAAAGACAAGGCCAGGTTCAGTGTCACCACATGTCACCGTTTTTTATTACTCAATGAGCCAAGGACAATTGATTTCCAGAAGTGGCAGCCACCTCCTCTACCAACCTTTCAGCGTACTGCACCCTGGTGAGAATCACCCTGAACAATCCACCCACTTTGGAGTGTCCTTTCAAAAGTCTCAGCACAAAGACAAGGGTTTTTTTACATTCTAATGTAACAGTGACAGCCCAAAAGGCACCACTACTGTTCTACATCAAGCATGTACAAACTGTTTCCTTTAAACAGCTCATCTCAGGAAGCCACTTCTCTTGGAGTATCTCAAGTTGGAAGGGACCCATAAGGATCATCAAGTCCAACTCCCTACTCCTTTGCAGAGCTACTTTAAACCCTGTGAGCATCATTCAGATGCTCCTTGAACTCTGACAGGCTTGGCATCATGACCACTTCCCTGGGCAGCCTGTTCAAGGGACTGCCCACTCTCTCAGTGAAAAACCTTTTCCTAATGTCCAATCTAAACTCTTGTTTCCATTCTGGGGTATAAAAGGCAGATTTTGAGCACAGCCCCATGCCATGCTGGGGCCCTTGGCATTTGTTCTTGTTAAAACAGTGGGAGGTGGGCCCAGTAGCAGATACCAAAAAGACCTACACCAAGAGGGCAGCAGGACTCCTACCACAACAGTGAGATACAACCAAACCTTCAGCACTAAACACCAAATGCATACGTTCTACCAAAAAACTCAACACAATCCACAGTCAGCGACCAGCAAGCACAGCTCCTTGCATGAAACCACCACTTTTCCCCTGATGTAAATTCCCAGTCATGTCATTACCTTACCTTACGTTTCATTTCGTCGTCCTCTTCCACCCTGGGACCACCAGCATCACTGAGGACAGGACTCAGAAGAGGAGATGAACCCTGGGCAGCTGCATTCAGATTCACCTGAAACGCTGGGTTCAAGCCCAGAGAACTCTTCAGCACGAGGGAAGAGAACTGAGGATGGTCCACTGGGAGGCCTGGGTAGGAAGAGAATGAGAAGATAAAAAAGACAAAACAGCATATACACCCTTAAGGATGTATTTCAAAGATTTTAAGGATGTATTTCAAGACTTAAGGATGTACTTCAAAGCAAATGGAGCGTTGCCTGCAGCCCAGCTGTGACATGGCAGCACAGTAAGGACAGACACCTTTACAACTGCATTTAAGGGAAAGGATAAATTGCTTAGTGTCTAGGAAAAAGTGCTCAAACCCTGTTGGATTTTGCTGCGTGGCAGCAGGGTTTGCAACGTAGGATTATACTGCAGTAACAAGCTTCATTTGTTCTTTTTAAACTAAGAATTACTTCTCACCCCAGGGAAAAGTTAGGACAAATCATTCCACTACTCTACACTCCAGAGGATAAGGCTTGTTAAAAATACATTCAGAAATCAAGGAATCTCCAAATTTGTACCAATAGAAGGGAAAACATATCACTACAGAAAAATGGAGCATGCAGGAGATTTCATTCCTGGCTCTTCAAAGCAGATGAATTATCTACTGATCTCAAAGGAGAACAGTTCTGAACACTGAGTATTAATTGGATGGACACAATCCTCTTGCACAGCAAAACCTGTCTGCAGGAGGAGTAACATGAACTGCTTTGCTTTGGATTATTAATCATCAGCCTTTTTTTCATATCACTACTTCATTTGCGGACGCTTTAGAAATTTCTGGTAAGGCACCATTAGAAGGAATTTAAGCCTCTGAAGAGGAGCTACTCTCCTCTCTTTGGCAGAGCCCTTAGAAGCAGCACACACACCCACTTTGGGCGTTCACAGTGAAAAGGACTGTTCAAAGCAGCTCTGCTTTTCAGGACCAAACAGGCAACAGGCACTCCAATTACTCACACTATGCCTACAAAATTCACACAGAACCTCACTTTTTATTGTTTCCCTGATGTCTCACAGATAAATAGAGAAGCTTTGTTAAATCAGACAACTGAATGGGTTCCAAACACCTCAGTATCTACTTGTTTCACTGCACTGCTCACACTCAGAACCCTACTCAGAATGATTAGTTGTGTGTTCTGAGGAGAGAGCAAGGGCTAAATCATCTGACTGAAGGCAAACTGAGAAATCAACGTGGTGACAAAAATGCTGACTGACTTAAAAAACATCCCAAAAGGGACTACTTAAAAAAAAAAAAAATTAATAATAAAAAAATCAGCCCCTGTGGATAATTCAGTATCTCTTCCTCACTGGAGGACAAGGAGTTAGGAGCTTTTTCGATCCACTCCTGGCGGGAGTGGCTGCTGCTCTCTGGCTCAGGAAGTAAAAGCACTGCAAGGCGCCTGCTGGTGTGACAATGGTGAGGGAGTCTGAGCTATTTTCACATTGACAAATGCAGGAAGCTAAACAGTGCTGCACTCGGTCACCTGGAAGAGATTCAGATCACTCAGGCTGTGGAGTTAACTATTAATACACTAGTTGAGCACAGTCGCTCCAGAGCAGATTTTTGTTTCTGCCCGAGCGTTTTCTTCATTCCTACTGCTTTTAATATTAGCACAGGAAAGGCACAACTTCTGACATTTGTTTCAAAAACTAATAAGGTAAAAGTTTTTAGGGGGTGAGTAGCTTCTTTAAATTCTTGGAATTCAACACAGTGTAGCGACACGTTACATTTGGAACTTGAATTGCTTCTGGACAGAGTGAATGTTCAGACACAAGGGAAGAAAAAGTGATATAACTTGCTGCACGCCTGCTTATTTTAATTGAATTGTTCTAGGCTTTATCACCTCTAACAAGAGAATCTGGCCACTAATTTTGAACACTTGCTCATTTGTATCTGACAGCAAGAAGCTCGAGCAGCTTATGAAAATGAAAGACACATTCAGCTCCTCGAGAAGCCTGAAACAAGGAGAATTCAAGATGCTGGAGCACAGGGCTTCCCTTCTCCCAGGCCTGGGAGGGGGCTAATCTACAGATGCCAATGCCTATAGCTTCTTCAGAGGCAGAGGGTCCATCCCCTTGCGTGCCAATAGCTACAGGACAGACACCCTGGAGCTTCCTGTCCATTTCCCTAGGATGGAAACAAAAGTATTCAGAAAAGAGCTGTTCCAGCTGTCATAGGCTGTCAACTTAAATGCAAAATTCTGTAAAGGGACTTTCCGAGGTTAATGTGACTTCTGGAATTTGTCTTTACTAGAATGGACTATAAAATGCCATGGAGCAGCTTGGGTTAGCTGTTCTGCTAACATTTGTTTAAATCTCTGCCATAAACTGAGTGTGATGGCATATGGTGGCAGATGACATCACAAGCGTGTGCTGAAACTTTCATTCTCGTGATCCAACAGCATTTCTCCACCAGAGCAGTAAGGGGGGAAGCTCCCAGTCAAGCAGTAAGATGTACAGTGGTTCTCTATTCTCCTGAGGAAAGATGGTAAAGGAAGAATCCATGCAGCAGGTGGAGCAGCTGTTGCTGCTTTCAACAGCTCTTCAATGTAGAGAGCTCCTAATTAGGTAGAAATATTGGTGCGAAGATCAAAACCACGTGAATGATTTCCTCTGACAGCAAACCCTGGTGCACTGAGGTCTTCCCTGCCCTGCAGGCAGCAGCATCCTCCAGGTACATCAAAATGGACTATTCTTTGAGAGGGATGTTCCCATGTTTCAACATTCTGCACAAAGTGGAAATTTTTTCTCCACGTGCACAACGTAACACAAACATCCCAAACTGAGAAGCCTCGTTGTAAGCAGGAGTCAGGGTTTCCATGCAATGAAGTGGGTATTCAACAAGGTCAACCAGACCCTCACAGACACAACTGCATTCTGTACAGGACAAATTTCCACTTTCACATCACACTCAAGTGCACTGAACTCAGTGCAACATCAAAAAAATGGTCAGCTTGGTGTAATAGTCCACATACTCAAAGATACTGACACTTCTTAGTAAATTACATTATATAATTCTAATTGTGTATCCTTAAGCACACAATCACAGTTTCACAAGACCAACAGGCACATAATTGAAAAAAAATTTAAAACTCAAGTCTAACAGTAGAACATTGCAGAAGTACTGTAGTTTGCAAGAATGAGTATGCTACTAGCCTTATTTTTCACAGCTACTGTATTGTATATTGTCAAACTTTTATTATTGTCTATGCTACCTCTTATTTTGTCCAGATATAAAAGTGCAAAATCCTCTGTCCAATATAGAAGACTATGACTTAAAACAAGTGTTTGTCCACACTACTTTTTACTGAGAGAATCTGCAGTGTATACAGACATGAAGGTTCATACACAAATTTGAAAAATATATGTTTAGAATTTTATACAAAACTGGTCATGAGAAGTTCATGATGGGATTGCAGAAGAACCTTTAACCCAGCTGCCATGACCTTACCTTGTATTTTCTTCAAATGTACTTCAATTCCAACCCTCTCACTGACATTATTACAGAATTATTGTAGAATTTTTTTTTTTTTCTCAGTAGACACGTTTAGTGTCCAATATGCAAAATCTATTCTTATTTGCCTTGCTAATAGAAATACAGCAGAGATCTTCTCAAACATGTCAGGCACTTCACAGGGAATACACTTCTTTACCCCTTGCAAACTTCAGAGAGATGGGTAATGAAGGAAAATTTTGGAAAACTATCATTCAATGTCAATCAGCAACATCAGAGAAAGCAGGGAAGCAAGCACACAGCAGCCAGGTTTCAAGTCTGACTTGTAATTTGCTACACCAGCATAAACCAGTTTTGGTTTCACATTAGGGACAGCAGCAGGCGACACGCTAGGAAATGAAATCACTTCCCTATTGAAGCTCCCAGAGTAAAAACAAAGCAATACATGAAAAATTACAAGTATTTTCTGGGGGAAAAAAAATGAGTAAGAGGAGAACAACCTGCTAGAATACTTTCTTAACCATAACACAAAATTTTATCATTTGAACAATCAGAAGTGTTTAAATTTCTGTTTTCTGAAATCAGTCATGTGATGACTTTAATAACCTACTAGAAAGTGTCCATATATATATATATACACTAAGAATTTTTTTCCACTGGCTATACATTGCTTCAGAAGACAAGAAGCACACAGCTCATAGGTCTGTGGGCTTTCCTCCCAGATTAATAAAGTTTTTAAATGGTAGAAGCTCCTACTAGGGGAGTAGGGCAGTTTAATATAATTAGCAAAATTTGTATTTTACTAACAGCTTTTACTAAAAGTTTAACTAGAAGCAGACTTGGTTTGGTTTACACTGAGTGTAATAATAAGATAAGCTTTTGGCATCACTTCTCAGTTACCTTTTCAGAGAGTATTTCCATTCTTCCATATAAATTCAATCTCTATGCAGAAAGACAGGTTTGAGAGCAAAGCTTCACCAAAGTAAAATGCAAGGGCTAGTTGTGTAAGCTTTATGCTTTAATGCTTAAAGCAATTAAAAAACAGACAACTACAACAGTAACCCAATAACACAGACCATTACTGGATGTACTAAAAGCCCTGTGAGGTTCAGATGTTAGCAATTTGACTCCTTAGCAGAAGGGAGTGCCTCTTGCATTCAACTGGTGGATACCCTTAGAGATGTAACTATTACTATAGTCTATATTATATTACTACTTTAAAAAGATGAGATTCTTTTTACACAAAAGCTCTGCAGTGGCTGGTGGGAGATGGGAGCCTGCTCAGAGCCCCTTCCTGCCCAGTGCCCAGCTGAACTCACAGCATGCAGAGACTAAACTACTATTCCTGAAGTGAAAGTGTTCTGCAAGCTAATGTACTACAACTAAAAACCTGAGTCTTCCTTATTTCAAAATATGACAACTAACATTTTTCCACCTCCAACAGTCCCTTTAAAAAAATGAGAGAGAGAAAGGAGAGAGAATCTTTTTTAAAAAAAAAAAAAATCACACCACAAAAACATAACCTAAGAAGCTAAAAAAAAAATTATCTAAGAGACTGTAAATTCAAAGACCTCTTTCCTTCTTATTCTCCAGTGGGTACAGAACACACTAAACAGAGTATGTTTATAGCATTTGTCATGTGCCCCAGTGA